TCAGCATTCATTTGCTCTGACTTCCACTAAGCTGCATCAGGGTTCTGGTTTTTGGGCGCACAAACACTGGTGCTCAACACCAGGGGGCGTGTGGTTATCCTGCATCAGGCCTTACTGATTCACTTCCATGCTGAAGATTCCTCATCAACTACATCAGGCACAGGGGTCCCAGTCTTCGAACTGCTGCCCTGACACCTCCTCTGTCCCATAGTGTTCTTCCACCCCCCGTTCCATAGTGTTCTTCCTTACCAACGCCCCTCCACCTGTCCCAGATAGTTCTTCCACCCCTGTCCCATAGTGTTCTCCTTACAAGCTCCCCTCCCCCATTCCATAGCGATCTCCTTACCACCCCCTCCCCTGTCCCATAGTGTTCTTCCTTTCCCCCCTGTCCCTTTGTGCCCCTCTCTCTCCCCCCCGCCCACTCCCCCCCCAGTCCTACCTCTCTTTGTAGCGTGGCTGAGCGTAGGAGACAGCGGTACAGGAGACTTAGTTTCCTCTACCTGGCTGGACTGACAGGAAGTGCTCTCTCAGTGAGCACTTCCTTTCAGTCCAGCTGGGTACATTCCGGCCATTCTGATCTAGCGCCCCCCTGGGCTGGAGCGCCCTAAGGCGGCCGCTTGTGCCGCCTTATGGACAGCTGGCCCTGCCTGCATGACTACTAACGGCGTTCCTGCTGTGAAAAAAGTGCAGGATAGCCATTCCCTTGCGTTCCTGCAGGACTTGAGCCCTGCTATCAAGTTATGTTATCATGGCAGAACAGGTTTTGAAGGCAAAACCTTTGGTCTCTTGGTTTAATATAAATTCTCCAGAACCTACTGAGGGAAATGAAATTATGATGTTGCAGAAAGACTTAGCATAAATATTAAAATGCTCTAATCCCTAATGAAGGAATTAGAGATTTGTGAATGCATGATAAAAGCATTTCACATGTACATTAGATAGGAGCAATCAAAAGCATGTTCATATTTTACATGCCACTTACATGATAATGCTCAAAATGTTAGATTTTAATGTAAGGAATAATGATGAATAAAATGAACACTGAAGCTGTTCTGAAGGCATGGGGTAGCCTGGTTTCTTTTTAGGATCTTGGCATTATGTGTTAAAAGAATGCTTTTATTTGCACATCTCCAATGCTAAGGAACACACTATAGATAATTTGTATTATTCATGTGCATGCACACACACACACCTATTACTCAGGCCAAAATGACTTACTAAAATGCTCAAACTCCTCTCATTTGACAGAAGTCCCACAGCATACAGTCACTGTTTGACTCCTGTTACCAGTCTTTTCATGAGACATCAAGGTAATGGGGCTGACTGACTGACATATTCAGTGTATTATTTTGCACTATTTAAAACAAACATTTTCTTTTGTTTATTTTGACGTCTTATTTTATGTTTTTTTATTCTGTATTGTATGTAATGCAATATAGACTAGTATAAAAATGTATAAAAATGTTTCCACAACCGCTTTTCTTTTTTCACTCTAAATAAAACATTGAAAATCACCTATATAAATTGTTAACCTTTTTTTCTTGTACATTAAATGAATTTGCCTGACCCGTAAAGCACATCAGCTTTGCCATCCAGAAATCAAAATAAACTTACGAAGGCACATATTGAAATATATATTTGAAAGGTGAAAATGTCAATATGAAAGGTGAAATTCAAAGTCCATCATTTAAAAATAGAGTCAAATCTATATCCTATTTTCTAAAAGCTATGTAGCAACATGAAAAAGGTGGAAGATCACTGGAAGATCACTTATTGTTATATTTATTTTTAAGGCCAAGGAAAATTCCTGGTTGAAGTGCATATTACAGATAAGCTGAGATCATTCAGTTCAGAGGTGGAAGGCAGAGGTGGCCAAAAGATAGTTCCCCCCATGTTATAGAACTACAGCTTCTATGATGCTTTGCATGCCTTTAGAATGCTTTAGAATGACAAACCATCAAGGAGGTTGTAGTTTTAAAATCTCTGCGAATCTACCATTTGGGCATCCCTAACCTAAGGGAATTCACTGCCAAAAAGAAGCAAATTTTCCCCAGACTTCTTCATAGTCATCCTGCCACTGTCTTGACCAATTATTATTTGTATTATTTTTGGCATTTATATAGCGCCAACTTTTTCCGCAGCACTTTACAATATTATAAAAATGTGTAAATTTAACAATAAATGAGACAATTACACAATAATACAGGAACAATAGGTTGATGCTCAAATGAACTTAGAGGAAGCGGGGTAAATAAATACAATAAGAGGGTCATCGAAGAAGATAGCAACCAAACAAGGTCTAAAAGCTAAGATACTCAAGTTAACAATTACATTGGTCACCTCATCACCATGTGACTCCACTCATTTCCTGTTTATTGCCTAGCATGGCCAGAGTTAGGCTTGAAGAATTATTAGTGTATACCCAAGGCAATATTAATGTAATCTCTAGACATTTGAAGCCAGTCAATTGATTGGAGAGTGAATCCATAAATTACATCTATTTTGTTTATAGAGACCTTTAACTAAGCTAGTGGTTATGTGATTTTCTCATATTTGTTGAGCAACATTGGTTTATGTAGCCTTGGTTGCTTTCTTTTGAGGGAAAAAAAAACTGTTTCTTAATCACAATTGATTCATGCTGTCATCTGCTTATTCTGGAGATATGTGGATGGTTTCTATATTTTATGCCATTATATATTGATTGCATTGCTTTTTTTTCTGAGGCTTATTAGTTCGCCAGTTGCTGCAAGCTATAGAAAACACAACAGATGTGTACTGCATGAAGATTGTATCATGAATATTCAGTGATGTACAGTAAAATATCTCTATTCCCAACATACTTTGGCTTTTGTTCTTTTTTTTGTGCAGTGTTAAATTTGATTATGTCTCTTGAATCCAAAATGTATTCCATCCTAAAGGTAACCTGCTATACTACTGGATCCCACATTAAGGTTAAACATTATGGTATAATGCTTCTATTTATTGCAATACAGTGATACACACAAGCTACTGTCATTAAATCTTCAGACTGAATTTTATTATCTTCTTTAAGGAGAAATCTAGGCACCATACCCACTACAAGCAGGATATAGCTTTACAAGTGAAATTCTAAAGAGAGGAATAAGATAGCTAGGGTGGTGGGCATTGGATAGAAGGCATGGAAAAGAAGCTGATGAGATGAAGATTCGATGGATGGATGGATGGATGGATGGAAGGAAGAAGCTATGAAAAAACCGTGGTGGTGGTGGTGATGGTGGGAGACATTCAATGGGTGAAAAGGGGTAAAAAACCTACGAGGGAGTTGGAATTTGATGGGTAGCACAATGGGCATGAGATGGGGTTGATTTAGTTTAAACTGGGAAGAATGTATAGGCGCAGATTCTCAAAGTCTTTGACTGAATACACAGAGTCTGTGTGTAATGCTGTGATATCAGAGAGTCAGGGAGGCCCAAATGTACTTGTTTATTACTGTACAAACTTAAAAGTTGCATGCTAGTAAAAGTATCCTTAGAATATCCTTTTAACACAATGCAGATTATCCTATTTTAACCCACTTTTCAGTCACAATGTAATATTTTACATATACTTTTTATAAATATGAAATATTGCAACAGAGCATACTGTAACATAATAAAGCAACAGAGACATAATGTATCATACCATATGCTATCTGTAATATTTTACATAACACAATGATATGTGTATGCAGAATGTTAAGTTTAAGGAGTTGCCACTTGAGAATGTATTTGTCCATTTAAACAAGAAGATCTTCTCAACAGCTGGGATTTATAAATATATGAGCAGATTGTAACGATCATAAATAGGAATCTGCTTTACAGTCAACATGCTCCTTGGAGACTGTTAATCTGCTCCCTTCATCACTGCTAGTTTGTCAATACAAAATACTTTGCAAAAAAAAGAAAGCTATTTATGATCTAACTATGAAAGATATGGAGATTTCCTTTAACACAGTTCTAATTGTTTACTTATTATTATAAATAAATGTGTTATGTAGGTAGTCAATGTAGGCCACATTCAATATCACTGGAATATTCTAAATACTCAATATGATTTCCATTAAATTAGAGATGAAGTCTTGATGTTTATGTTTACGTACTACACATTTATTCAGGTTATAGTGTGAAATAGGGTAACAAAACAATCCCACTATAATAAATTTTTGTTTCTTCTTCTTCTTCTTCTGTGTCTTTTTTCAGTTGATTAATATATACGTATTTTGTATATACAGTCTTGGGTCAAAGGCTTGCGACATTAATATACGTTTATATTAATGAAAAGTACTAATACGCAATCTGACTTAAGGTTTCTTCAGCTTTATTCTTAGAGTTACGGATACATAATCAAACATCAAAGAATGTTACAGGATAATGGACGTTCAACAACAGATGGTAATTGCTGCACTCCTGAAGGATGAGTTACATCGTTACATAACTTTACAAGAGCCGAGAGAGAGACCTTGTGTCCCTTTGTTCAGTCACTATATAGATGCTAGAGTATAACCCTAGCCATATAAGGACAAGATCCCCTATCCACATTCCAGAGTTCCAATACAAGAAAACCTTGTGACTTATTGATACCATCTCTTACTTATGTCAATCCAGACATCCATAAATAATCAATAGAAACATAGAATTTCAATATTCTACACCCATTATAAAGTAATGAAAAGGTACTCTTGGGTGATGTCAACATATCAAAAAGTGGTCTATCCTGTCTAAAATCTACAGTCTGCCATGTGGTTTATTCAATAGATGCTAGACTGACTTTCTAGAGCAGGAGTGGGAAACCTTTAGCACGCCAGATGTTGTGGACCACATTTTCCATGATACTCTTACAACCATAATGCTGGCAAAGCATGAGAGGAGCCACAGTCCACAACATTTGGAGTGCCAAAGGGTGATTACCGCTGTTCTACAGTTTGCATGTATATCCCAAATATTAGTCAAGTTACAGATCAAAGTGTTGGATATTAAAACTGGTTATAATGGCAATGACTATGGTGAAATAGTAATAATAATACTGAAGTATTATTATTACTATTTCACCATAGTCATTGCCATTAATGGTAAGATAAAAAAAAGAAACTATTCCCTTCTAACTGTTACATCTTTGAAGGAAAGGTAAGACATAGCTCTTATAGCCATAGCATAAAATAAATAGTATGATTATCATCCTTTTTTGATCTGGTAAAAATGTTCTTGGTTTATTTTGAGTTGCCATAGTTAACTCACTGTAGGTTCAAAGATGAAGCAGACAAGCATAGATGCAATTAACCTCATCTGACAATGGCAGCTTATTGATGATAAATTGTGTATTCTTGTAAATAACAGGAGGTGGCATTAAATCAGTCTGAAACTTTCATATTCAAACATTATAAACCTTCATTTTATACCCTGATACTGTATTCTACAAAAGCCCTTTACTCTGAGGTGTGCTTATCAGCAAAATTAGAAAGGCCTAAAGGCCTAGTCATTAACACAGCATGCTGCCAAGTGGGAGACTTAATTTTGATACATTGCCTGCCTGACTGCAGTTTTTTTAGCTGATTGGGAATGATCACGCTGCTCTCATCATACTTGGCTTGCCAGTTTCAAGCCACTTTAGGTATTGCTCTGTTTGTAATAACTGAAGCATTGCCAGCAAGTTTGGGAAATAAAATAGCATTATTTTACAAAAAACACAGCTAGAACGAATGGAAAAAAAAATTAAAATAAGACAAAGTACATATGAAAAATTGATTTAAAAAAAAAAACACATAAATGTAGGCCTCCACTTTTTAAAGGACACAGTTTGGTAAACATAACCATTTTTAATGTATTGTATAGATAATGCATTGAAATAATCTAAAAAAAAATGCAAACCGCTCACTCATCATTAGCTTGTCCCTAAGATCACTTTCATTGCATAACATGAGAAAATATGTATATTGGTAGCAACCATATCACAGTTATGAGTCCACACACTGGCTAATTCAATGTTTACTGAATTGGCAACATGCACTGATTGGCAGAGCTACTGACCATGTACATTCACAGTTTGGCCAAACCAATGCAATCCACTAGAGCTCAAAGCCATTCTCAGAGCAGAGAGTAGATTCATAATGCTCTGTGTGCCACAACCTTTACAATGATGGAAAATTGTTATGGTGCTTCGAGCGTCCTATTAAATGTCCATTTTGGTACCATTCCTGTAATAAACAACAATTTATATGGCTTATATTAATTGCTATCACATCTCCTATTTTACTAGGAATTCTAACAGAAGCTTAGTTAAGCAAGGAAGCAGGGGTTGTTAAAAAACGCTCATTGGAAACAAATATAAAATACATGGTAAAATTCAGAATGCCAGAAATTAAGTACATGTAGCTGGAAGTCGAAGGTTAGAGGGCAGGAATTCAAAAATTGACTCTTTGAATTACACACAGTAGGATGCAGGGTTGTCGTACTGGATTTTGTGTACCAGCTGTATACGTATTTCACATGCTGTAGGCATAGAAAACCGTACTACCCAGCAGTGTGCAGAGTGTATCGGCTCACAGAAGGAAATCAATTAATTAATCACAAAGAGGATTCTTTAGGAACCATGGCGATTAATGAATTGTTTATTACTACATAATCAAGCCCTGCAAGCAACACTTCTGTTCTCTTTTCTTTATCCCCACATGGAATACTTCAATGCTCACAATAGAGCAACTCATATATTCTGCCACACAACTGAAATAATCTGTCTATCCACTGTTAGGTAACTGAGGAAAAGGGGATTGGCTGAAAATCGGGGACCAGTAAAAAACCCACTGCTTACTAGTTCATTTTGTTACATAATGATAAATAAAAGTATTGCTCTTTATATATGTATTATATTATGATACTGTAAAGACATCCATGCATTTTTGCAGTAAGATATATTACTATTACCTAACAGATTGGGTATTAGTTCATCAATTTCGATAGGATAAAATCAAGTGTATGTTTTGGAAATTGTGTGACTAAATATGTAAATCAGCAATATCATCCTTTATCTGGAAAGAAACTTACTGTCCAATCCCACTTGTGTTTCCAATATATTGTGTTTTTTTATTTAAAAAAAAAAAAAAAAAAGCATAACCAGATTTATGGTAGTTTGTCCTTAAATCTGATTAAATCATATGAAAACTTGTGTAAATCACTCTCATTGGCTGACAGTCATTTGTTCTTCCCAAGGCCACCGTTTTGAGCAGCGAATATGCTGCCCTAAAAGACAGGCCTGCCTTCTCTGCTGCTAGCACCAGTGGGTGGAGTTGGCAGAACTTCACTTCCCCTGATACAGCCTGGATTTTGACTACATGTCTGTCACATTGTTTAAGCCTGCTGCTCCATGCTTTGACTACACCTCTGTACTTTCTACCCTACATTCTCTGATAATACTCCACTGGCTCTATACTTTAAAACCATCATGCTCTCTGCTGCTGGCTTCTCTCCACTGATGTCTCATCCAGGCGGGAACTAAAGCAGTGTTCCCCAGCCAGGTAGGACTTTGTCTGTAACTTTGCAGATAGATATAAATTGAGCTAAACTGTTTAGTAGCAATAGTAGTAGTAGTAGCTAGTGATGTACCGAACGGTTCGCCGGCGAACGGTTCCTGGCGAACATAGCATGTTCGCGTTCGCCACGGCGGGCGAACATATGCGCGGTTCGACCCGCCCCCTATTCGTCATCATTGAGTAAACTTTGACCCTGTACCTCACAGTCAGCAGACACATTCCAGCCAATTAGCAGCACAGCCTCCCTAGCAGACCCTCCCACCTACTGGACAGCATCCATTTTAGATTCATTCTCAAGCTGCATGCTTAGTAAGAGGAGGGAAAGTGTAGCTGCTGTTCATAAGATAGGGAAAAGCATAGCTAGGTTAGGGATAAGGGTATGCTTTTTTTTATTTATTTTTTCTATGTAATGTAAATGCACTTAGTTGTCTGCCACTGCTGCCAGCTTCTGTGTCAGGCTCACAGTGCCCATTTCCCCAGTCAGTGCCACCAATTACATCTGGTGTCACAATAGCTTGGATTTAAAAACAAAAAACTTTTTTCACTGTTATAGATTGAATAGCAGTCAGTTGTCTGCCACTGCTGCCAGCTTCTGTGTCAGGCTCACAGTGCATACTGTGCCCATTTCCCCAGTCAGTGCCACCACTTAGATCTGGTGACACAAAGCTTGGATTTAAAAAAACAAAACACTTTTTCACTGTTATATATTGAATAGCAGTCAGTGTCCTTAAAGCGGGTGTGTTACGCTAACAGTGGATACGGTGACCAGTGCCACCACTTAGATCTGGTGACACAAAGCTTGTATTTAAAAACAAAAAACACTTTTCACTGTTATAGATTGAATAGCAGTCAGTGTCCTTAAAGCGGGTGTGTTACGCTAACAGTGGATACGGTGACCAGTGCCACCAATTAGACCTGGTGACACAAAGCTTGGATTTAAAAAAACAAAACACTTTTTCACTGTTATAGATTGAATAGCAGTCAGTGTCCTTAAAGCGGGTGTGTTACGCTAACAGTGGATACGGTGACCAGTGCCACCACTTAGATCTGGTGTCACAATAGCTTGGATTAAAAAAACAAACACTTTTTTCACTGTTATAGATTGAATAGCAGTCAGTGTCCTTAAAGCGGGTGTGTTACGCTAACAGTGGATAAGCTGACCAGTGCCACTAATTAGATCTGGTGTCACAATAGCTTGGATTTAAAAAAACAAAACTCTTTTTTCACTGTTATAGATTGAATAGCAGTTGGTGTCCTTAAAGCGGGTGTGTTACGCTAACAGTGGATACGCTGACCAGTGCCACCAATTAGATCTGGTGACACAAAGCTTGGATTTAAAAAAACAAAACACTTTTTTCACTGTTATAGATTGAATAGCAGTCAGTGTCCTTAAAGCGGTGTGTTACGCTAACAGTGGATACGGTGACCAGTGCCACCAATTAGATCTGGTGACACA